AACTCTTCTAGAAAATCGAAAATATCATAATTTTGGAATTCTCAATTTGGGGCAAGCCTTTCTACATTTTTGAAATATTTTTCCTAATATCTAGAAATTATTTCGAAAAAAAAAAGAAAAACTTGCTATTTTTTAGGGCGATTTAATACAATTTATGTCGATTTATTTTCTGAGTGTATGTGCATGTGTGTGTATGGCGAACAACCCCCACGCCACAACATGCGTGAGGTTTTTGAACTCGAAACTTCCTCAATCTGTATATGTGTATGCACAAATGTATGTGTGTGTGTGCGTGTGTGTGTGTAAATACATATACAAATAAGGGCCGATGATGTTATTGTGGTTGCTTTCTGCTCTTTGCTGTTATTTTTGCAGACCGACAACTGGCAACCGGAAAACGGATGCGCCCTATTTGGCTGAGTACCTCAAAATTTTTATGCTGCGACCATTGTCATTTGTTATGAATAGTTGTGCGCTTATGGCTTGTCAAGACAGTTGACAGCAAAATTGTCCCATTTGCAATGGCCCAAAACCAAAGCAAAGTAAAGGTGTCACCACATGCAACATTCTAAAAGTGTATTTATGCATGTGCGAGCGAGGGTAGCTCCATAAACCCCTACCAAAAGGAGGAAATTTGAGACGCTACATAAACTGACTAAATTGAGTTAAAAACAAGTCGGAATGGTGCAGTCGATGGAGTAGTGAGTGAGCTCGACTACGATCTATCCTAGAACCCAGATGAACAGCTTTTAAATATATTATAGGTATAGTATTGCCAAATTTGAGAATATAAGAGATAAATATGAGAATATATTTTCTAGAACTATAACTTGGGTATTTCTTATCCGATCTTGATGAAATTTTGACAGTGGATCAAGCAATATCTCTGCTGCATGTACGATAACTTATGTTCCAAATTTGGAGACTTAAGCTCTTTTGGTCTCTCAGATCTCTGGGATCAGACAGACGGATATGGTTATATCGATTCGACTGTTGATTCTGATCAAGAATTTTACTATTTTACATATAGGTAAATATTTTTTTTTCTGATTCACAAACTTCTGGAACGCCCCTCGCTATACATATATGTGTGTGTGGCATTATTCATCACGCAGCACGCACCATGCACCATTAAAGATCCGATCCACCGACGGCCGGTTGACAAACTGCGTCCGGTTTGTGCGCTTCAAATGCAAATGTTCAATTTTCCCCCTTGGCCGATGTTGTTGTTGTCATTGCAGGCTGGTGGCAATGAACGCAATGAAATACCGTTATGGCCGCCTTCAACATAATATTGGCAATGAGCTGTTGCTGCTGCTGCTGTTGTTGTTGTTGCTGTCGAAAAGTTCCAACAGGCTAAAATGCGCACAGCTGCAACAGCAAACAGCACAAAACGTGCAGCGCATAAAAAGAAGTGTGAAATGGAAAAACACACACTCATAACAATAAAAAATAAAACAAGAAAGAAAGAAGCCAAGAATAACAACAACAGATCACACATATATAGACAGAGGCTGACACACATACGTATGCCCGCACATCAAACGAGAACAATTCAGGAGAGTTGGCAACGCCGTTTGGCAGCTTGCTTTTTTTTTTCTCAAAAAAAAAGGCTTTACTTTCAGACACAAGCAGCTTCTGCTTGGCATAAAAATCAAAGAAACACGAAGAAGAAGACGCTTGTGCAAATAAAAATTGCAAAGTACAAATGCATTTATGCATTTCAATTTTATTTTTCCTGTGTATATTTTACAGGCACACACACACTAAGTGTAATGGCAATGTAAGCGAATTCCGCTAAAGTTCTTTAGAGCATTGTTTTTTTATTTTTGTTTTTAGCTGTAATTTGATGTGGCACAATCTCTTTCTGCATCTGCAATCTGCGATCTGAGGATTCGTATTCGTATTCGTATTCGCAGAACGAGTTAACAATAAAAGCGTCTTTCATGGTAATTCTTAGTTATGCATGCCACTTTGTATTAATAAATGCCACAAATGCTACAAGCCGAAAATTAAATACCCTTGCTGACACGACACACATGGTACATTGCATATGTATGTGTAAAATACTAGTCGATTTTTTTTCTGGGTCTATGTTTAAACGTGCAGTTGCGGTTAAAAAAATATCTTAATATCATTAAATTTGCACTGCCTAATGCAATAAGTAGAAAAAGTCACTTAATACTCTAATTGAATGTTTCCACACAATGTTGGGCAGTAGTATATATGTATATATATATATATATATATATGCTTTAAATTTTTTTTACTGATTCTAATGGTAATTAATCATGTGCAAACAATGGACTAGCAATTAATCATCAAACTATTATGAATTGAACACTGCCCAACTCTCTATCTATGTATGTAAATAATAAATAAAAAAAAGAGCAGTTGATTAATGATTTGTACTAACTGGGAGCTCAGTGTTATTATCTCAAATTGAGTTATTAGAGTCTCAACTAATTCTGAAGACTTATATGTGCATATCTATATACAGATGTATATGCGTATGTGTATTTATATATTCTCTTGGTTCTCGATTTCTTTCTCATTCTTGTCCCCATATCGAATTGGCTGCAGCTTTTTGAAAATAATTTCTAGATATTGCAAAAAAGAATTTCAAAAATCATCAAAACGTATTTTATTATTTCTTATTTTTATTATTAACAAAAACATTTCTAAAAAGTAGAAATGCAAATCCTAAATTTCAGAATCTTTCCAAAGTTCAGAAACAAGTAATGAAATGTTTTTGGCTCGGCTTTCATATTAGAGTTTAGCTGTCGTAGAATACCCATTTTTACGAGTGTATATATTTATTTGAGTTGTTTTCAGAGCACATAAATATAAATTGGCAAGGGCAGCAAATTTGTGTCAGTGCACATGATGCATATCAAGCGGTAAACTTTTAGCACACACTGTTCTCTATCTCTCTCTCTCTCTCTCTCTGTCTGTCTGTCTGTCACACAAAACTGCATTTGACTGACGCACATGTTTTTTTTTTTTTTTGCAATACCAACTGAGACTGATGATGATATTTATATGTTCATGATGATGCATGTGCCACATCAAAAAAGAAAATAAAATATAGGACAATAACAATAATTTATTGTGCACACAACTAAATTTAGGGTCTGCCGCAATTGCCACTGTCTGTATAATTATGACAGCCACTGTGGGTTGGGCCTATTAAATTATTTCGTTTTTTTATTTTTATTTAATGTAACCTTTGCGAAATTGTTTGAGCAATTGAATCATAAAACACAAGCAAAAATGCTAATTAAATATATTTAATGTGATACACAAATAAAAAAATATATATCTAATTATTTATGTGCATAGAAATCAAGTAAGAATACTCTGCAGTCATGCGTATTCGACTGCAAGACACCCTACATACCCTTATGTTTATTACTCTCTCTATATATCTATAAGAGAGCATATGCATTGGACAATTTATTTACAGGGTATACGATATGAGAACAGCTGCAATTAAATTCCACAGCGCAGGCGTCGCGACAGACACTGAAATCGAGCCAACCCACAAACGCAAAGCGTGGCAAAAACAAAGACAAAGACAAAGTCAAAAACAACAAATAAAAAATGCTGTAGTCGATTGAGTAGTGAGTGAACTCGACCTACGATATACCCTCTACGCCGAACCCAGCGGAATTCCTTTCATTTCCTATGTCTGGCACAGGTACTGAAGAGTAAAATAAAGTAAGGCATACTCACTCACATATGTAAGGAGGTTAGAGACAAACATATTTTAGCTCGTGTCGAATACCTTGCCTCTGCGCTGGATACACGATTCTATTCTATTATAGTCTCTGAGATCAGACAGATGGACATTGCGATATAAACCCCTATCAAGAATATATACTTTAAAGAATGCAAATATGCTTTCTTCTGCCTGTTACATACATTTACAGAAAACCATTATACCCCTTCAATTGATTGAGAGTATAAAAACAGCAAATCAGAACTGAAAACTTTTATAGAAATCAAGTCAAATCAAGTTTAAGCAGCTGTCATAAAATGGGGTCTACTAATATATTGACTGGGATCTAGTTTTCGTTCTGGATCTGGCAAAGGGTATCTGCGTGGTCGGGCTAGAGTCAAACGAACGCTTGAACCTAATTCGGTTGCCCTTTTGGAATTTCTCAACGTTTGACTTTAATCAGAACTGAAAAAAATAAAAAGCAATAAAAACAAAAAAGTTGAAAGAGTCACAAAATGTCGAACAAAAGAACAAGTTCTCAGACATTTTTTTTAAAACTTTTGCCTGCTGTTCTTGCTGCTGCTTATTATTTATTCAATTTGAATTTGAATTTGCATTTTTAGCATTTTATAAAATTTACATAATTTAATGGGAGTATCTTTAGTCTGTAATTTAGCAATGTGGAACGCAAGTGGATTGTGTTAGTTATAGTTCACATTAAAAATGAAATCACTTAACGGTTATAAAAGCGCAGAGCATACTTCTAGTCCCAGCCGCATCCCAGTAAACCGCAAAAAGTATTCCAGCTTAGTGGATGTTTTTTGGATGCTCTGCGAAAGTTCATAACAAAAGGTAAAACCAAAAAAACAAACTGGGCCTTGCCATCCATAACTCCTGCAGAGCGAGAAAGAGCGACAGAGAGAGAGACGTCGTCTGGCAGTTTGTCTGCTTTTATGGAAACCGGCTAAATTCCATTTGGTTTTGATGCTGCCTGCCTTTGCCTTTTCTTTTCTTTTCTTGCTTTTTTTCTCACTGCATTTCACTATTTTCTGCTGACGTCGCGCAGCAGCATCTGTCAAGGGCGTTGGGTTATTATTTATTTTTTTTGTTTGTATTTTTTTGACAACTTGACTGTGACTGCGCCTGCAGGCAGCGACAATACCGTTATGCTGATTGTAGTGGGCGCATTTTGCTGTAAATCTTAATGAACAGTTTCAGCATTTTACACACAATGTTAATGCATTTACAGACACACACGCATACATATATATATACATACCTTTTACGTTCAATTTGTTTTGCCGCCTCAACTGTTGGCACAGTTTGCTAACTGTAAAGGTTGCTGTTACTGTTGTTGTTGTCGTTGTGCAGGGAATGCATTGAATACGGTTTGGTTCTTAATTGAAATTTCCATTCAATTTACAGCTGAATACCGCGCGCAACACTAGCAATCGTAATCGCAAAAGGCAGAGGCAAAATGCAAACAAACACATACAGTGTGTGTTTGGTGTTGGTAAACGAGTTTACTTTATTTTATATTTTGTTTTTGCTCTTTTTTTTGTTTAGCGTTGTAAAACCGCAATAACAACACACAATTGATTATTTATCAATTGCACACACTTTTTGTTTACTTTCAATCGAAAGCGAGCCTTCAATTCACAAACAAAAAACAAATTGTAAAAAAAATAATAATAATAATTGTAAGCGCACGCAGACGCCGTCGCGCTAGTCCGTTCAATGAGTTTTTTTCGACTGACTGCAAAAAAAAAACAAACGGTGACTGTTAACTTAACAGCCTGAGAGCCTCTGAGCCTCTGAGAGCGCAACAGTTGTTTACCAGTCTGCAATATTAGACAATTTTAAAATATTCAGATTTAAGTGCGCTTATGAGAGTATTTTGTTTTTAATTTAATTTTTATTGATGAAATTGTAAGTCAGCAGCTATTTTAAAAGCACTCAACTTTTGTAAATAAATACAGTTCATGCAACGTAAAACTAACAGCGCAAAACTGCTTACGTCAAACGCAAAATTGAGGCTAACAAGCGCATGAGGCCCACGAACGCAAAAGTGAGACTAACAGAACGCAATAGCAGAAGTTTTGGTTTGCATGTTATTTAATAGTGCTTTTTTTTTTAAGAAAAATAAAACAATTATTATTTCAACTGTTGTCACCGCTGGTTTTCATCTTTTTCGCCTTCTTTGCCAACTTCTTGATGTGCTCGCTCCTGTCCAGATTGTTCTGGAAGAATGTCGTCTCCCTGCGCGCCTGCGATACCTCCGTCTGCAGTCGCTGCCTGTGCGTCGCCTGCTCGTAATTCATGCGCTCCGTCAAATGTATCCATTTGAAGCGCGGCAAATATTTCATGGACCACAGCGAGTCATAAAACTGCGATTTCTTTCGCGTCGAAATTTGTTTATTATTCAGCAGTGGCACAATTTGTTTTGCAACACGTTTCGACTCGAATTCCACCCAGCCTTCGGTGAAATTTAAATTTAATCGTTTGTGCTTCTTCTTCTTCGTTGCCTTATCCTTTCCGCTACCTGCAAATATGAATGCAAGAAGTTAAATTGCATTTACATTTGAGGGGGGACATGTTGTCTCTTTCACTCACCCGGCTGCTTCTCGGGCTGCAAGTAGACTCGTCCAATTTTGCCAAAATCAGCGAGAATTTCACGCAAACGCGTCACATTCATGTGTTTCGGTATATTCGATATATAAATAATGCCCTTCTTGCGTTTCTTTCGCTTGACGGCGTCTGCATTAAAGTTAGCCAAATCCATTTCATCTTCGTCATCGTTGTCCACATTATTTGTTACAAGCTGATTATCACTGTTTGATTCCAACTCTTCTTCCTGCTCCAGCGCCTCATCGCTATCCGATTTTGTTTTTATTTGTTCCTTCATTTGTTTAATACAAAACGTGCGCTCTATGTGACCGTTTGAGTGCAACACGAGAATAACAAATACCCCCACACATTCGAATTTGTAGTATTGCTGTTAAGTAACATTAGCGCTACTTACGTTACCACGTTGCTTACGTCTAAATGAACGATAAATGCCTTTTAATTTTTCCAGGGCTGCTTTGCATATGGAGCTGCTAAACGGAAAACAAATGAAACGGTTCTATCTGTTTAGTAACATCAATATTTTTGTTTGTAATGTACGTTACGTTTGCTTACGTTTTAAATGTACGATAAACGCTTATCGATATTACCAGGGCTGCTATCCATTTCACAGTTAACAAACAGCAAACAATTGAATCGGTGCCAATGTTAAAATTCAGTTGATTACAATCCACCCAAAATGCCAGTAAGTAGTCAGTGTTGACAAATCATCAATGACTAATAATGTGTAATTTGAAAAATTTAGTTTATATTTTAATTTCTGTGCGTTTGATACACTCCAAAAAATAGGCATATCACTCGGAAATCGAAGAATTCGGGCGACAGGTGGGCAACATGGCAATTCTGCCGCTTCGCACCAAAATACGAGGGCCAGCGCCCAGTGTGAATACTGATAACGATATCATCGATGAGTCACTTTACTATTTCAAAGCGAACGTTTTCTTTCGCACATACGAAGTGAAGGCAAGGTTAACTTTATCTTTTTTTTTACATTTGTAAATCGAATTAAAATTGTATGCTATATATTTTTATTTTTTTAGTCGGAAGTGGATCGTGTGCTTATCTATATAACGCTCTATATAACGGAGTGCCTGAAGCGATTGATGCGTTGTACGAGTAAGGAGCAAGGACAACAGGATCTTTATGCGATGGCCATATCAAGATTTGATATACCCGGCGATGCCGGATTTCCGTTAAATTCCGTCTATGCGAAGCCAGATAATGCCGATCTGATGCGCGAATATATGCTGCAGTTGCGCCAGGAGACTGGTGTGCGGGTGCTCGAAAAGGTATTCGACACGCCCGATGGGAAGCCGAGCAAGTGGTGGATGTGTTTTGCCCGCAAGAAGTTCATGGAGAAGAGTCTCTCGGGTCCCGGGCAATAGAAACAAACAACATTCTCAAAAAAGTGGCTGTTAAATCAATTTTTGAGACTGTTAAGTGTGTTGTTGCAGCCCCTCTTTTTGAACGTGCCAGTGCTGTTAAGTGCCCATAGTACTAACGACAAGGCGCCAAGTTTAAATTAATCATGCGTATGTCGATGTGTATTTACCATTTATTAAAATATATATATAATTTTTTTTTATCTAGCTGTTGACAATTAATAATAAGTGTTCATAAAAAAATACTACAAGTACATTAAACTTAAATTGGTAAAAACATTCAGAAAAAATCGACTGCTTAATCAATTTTCAGACTGTTAAGTGTGCTGTTGCAACACTGTTTGTTGAACGTGCCAGTGTGGGTAAGTGCCGATGGTACTAACGTATAAGGCGCCAAATTTAAATTAATCAGACACATGTCGATGTTTATTTATCATTTAATAAAATATATGGATTTTTTTATCTAGCTGTAGACAATTAAATAATGGCGCCACATGCAAATAAGCACGGCAGGCACAGCTTAAAACTAATAGCAATACTTGTGCAAAAAAAAAAGAAACCAAAAAAAAGAATCACAAAAACATTAAACTTAAATTACGAGGACAATAAATCGTTTTAAGGTATTCACATGATTATCGGCATTATTTACAAAATACTTGGCAAGCGGACACACACACACATACACTCTCACACAGACACACACGCACACACATTGGAAGTAACGATTATTGAAACTCTTTGATAATCTCAACGATGCTCTGATAGGTGCCCGTAATAATGCCGAGCAGGGCGATCGTTAGAATGCCAATATTCTTCAGATAGATGAGGGTGCCCAGACCCTTGGGCACTTGCGTGCGTGTCACAAAATCAATGATCACCGGTATGACAAATGCCAGCGATGTTGAGCACAGTGCACCGATGAGCGAAATAAATAGATTCAATTTTGGCACCACCAGGGCAACACAAACTATAAACAGATTTGAAAAGAGACAAATGATTAAAATTTATCATTTATTGGATCAGTGTTTATATTGGACTCACATGTAAGCATGACCATGATGAAGCGCAGTGCGACCTGCATGGTAATCGGATACTTCTGGGCACAGCCATTGGCACGTTTGACGGGCGGCCACAGAATCTTCATCATGACAAAGAACTGTATGGGATAGCCAAAGAAGACGCCCAATGCGGCAACAATTTTCACAACCTGCGACATGCTGCAAACAACATAAATAATAAAATCAAATATATAAATAGGATTCTCTTTTAAATATATATATTTTTTGCGGTCAATTTAATAGGACTGCTGCTTCTCAAAGCATTTCCAAAATCTTCAATATGAAGGAAAAATTCAATTCAACAAAACAACAAATATTTTGTTTTTCATCTGGGAATGTTTTAAAAGACAATTATTTTCCAAATAAACGGAGGAAATTATAACCAGCTATCATATCTAGTTTTTAGAAATACTAGAAAATATTTAATTTATAATTTAATACAAATAAATATGAATATTATTAAATTTAAGGACTTTAATTTGTTGGTTAACAAATTTCATAAATTCCAATTTTTATAATGTTTTTAACTATATTTGAAGCATTTCCATTATTTTGACCGCAGCTGTAAATGGGGATTTTTTTCTTGCAAACTTACACATCCTCCACGTTGAGATTGAGCGTAATGCTGCCAGCAACATCCTCGCCCCAACGCATATAGCTAACGAATCCGGTGAAGATGAACAGGGCCGTAATGCAAAACATGGTCACATTCAGCACACCAAATCGACTGCTGAACGCATCCGGATTACGCATCGAGTTGCGCAGCGGTAAAATCAGAGCGATGCCCTCATACGAGAAGAGAGCCGTGCCAAAGAATAGGGCTAATTGTGTGCCGCCCGTGAACGAATGGCGATCACCAAAGGGTGGCATTGGTCCCTCCGAGAAGGCAATCGTTAGTGTCGCAATCAAACCGAAGAGTAGCGCAAAATTCGCCACCAGCGACACAGGCGATATATACTTAAGATTGGTCAACAGAGATGGTATCATTGCCGGCAGCAGTGTTATCAGCATCACCATGCTCATGCTAATATCGATGCCATTCTGCAGAAACACCTGCAAGGCAAATATTCAAACAAGTCAGCGTATAGTCGACTACGAAATACCCTCTACCCGCGAACCCAGTTTAATTATATTCCTCCTAGTTTTATGGTTAATATTACTATTTCCCTTTGAGAATGGAGAATGAGTGGAATTCTCTCATTTCTCATGGCTGAGGAGTAAACAAATGTAGAAAAGAGACAAACATATTTACGCTTGTGTCAATTGTCTTGCTATCCCTTTCTCACACAATCAGGTTGATAGAAATGAGATCAACATGAGAAAAGCTATAACTTGGGTACTTCTTATCCGATCTTGATGAAATTTGGACAGTTGATCAAAAGATTGTTAATGTATAAAATATATCAATAACAAGCCTCTGATTTTACTGTTATAGAATTTAATCGATATTTGTTAAACGGAGGCACGTATCGACAACTTCTATTCCAAATACTATAGTGCCTGAGATCTCTCAGATCGACTCGGCTCTTGATCCTGATCAAGAATATATGCATATGCAGATGCTTCCTTCTGTCTGTTGCATCTTCAGTAATCAGTAATCAGTGCTGGAGCTGGTGCTGCTGGAGTGGCACTCACCTGGTGTAGATTCTCCGTGACGAACACAAAGTAGATGGCACAGAAACCGAATTGGGTCACACAGAGGAACATCTCGACGATCAGTTTCATGGCGCGCGACATGCGCCGCAATGGTTGTGGCCCATACTCGAAGCACTTCTCAACCGTCTCCGGATAATCATAGAAGATGGCACCCGGCGTCTTCGAAACGGCCAGCAGCGAGCCACGGATGAGCAATCGCTCGCAATGGACGCACATGATGGCGATAATGGGCAGCATTATTGTGGAGCCAATTAGGCCGCCATTTTTAAAGCAATCGCCCATGGCGAAGAGACCGGCGCCGACGCTGCCCTTGAACAGATGTGTGGCTGCCTCCATATTGCTTGTGGCATGGCGCTGCTTCACGTTGCCCTCCACATCCCCATCCTTCTCTCCATGCGACGACTGCTGCTGCTGTTGTTGTTGTTCAGGTTTGGTTATTTCCAACGTTTTGCCCATGTTGCCGGCTTTGAGTGCTTTGCTGTTGTTGCTCTGTTAAAGAGGGTATGCGTGTGTGTGTGTGTGTGTGATGTTGTGTGTGTGTGTGTGTTAGTAGGTACATAGAAAACTTAAGTTATTTATTTATGCTTTATATTATTATTATTATTATTTTATGTTTTTTTTTTTCGTTGTGTCTGCCTCGAACACAATTCGGTGATTAAAAATTGAGAATCGAGGTGAAACTCAAAGTTGAAAGCGCAGCCACAACATAAGTTAACGGGGTTTCAGATTAGAGGATAAGCGGCGCTAGCTAAGCATGTAGATAAGGCGAAGAACAATGATCTAGAAAAAAAACAAAACAATTCCACTAGTAATTAACCCCAGAAAGCCGATGCTCTTTTTTCTCGTAAAACTAGTTTAAAAATATATATTATATTAGTCGTGATTCGACGTTTTTAGTTGTTGAGTTGCCCATCCCTAGATCTCCATACTAAATGCGATTAATTGGTCACGTTTTTGCCTCACATCTGGTGCGCCTCTTCCGTCATTAATTTTTAATTGCTTTCAGTGTTAATTTCAACAAATATTTACAGTTCCGCTCAAAATTATGGTAGTATATATGCAAATTTGGCTCATTTTATGGTGATCGAGTCGAGACCTCTTCAAAATCTTCAATATAAAGGAAAATTCAATTCGGCAAAACAAAAATTGGTTGGTTTCTCATCTGGGCATGTTTTTAAAATAGAACTATTTTCCTAATCATATCATAGCTAGTTGTTAGAACTCGAAAATTGAGAAAATTAGACTAATATTTCACTACTATTATAACCATAATATAAATTAAATAATATTTTAATAAAAATAAGTATAAAAATAATACAATTTAAGGACTTTTTGTTGCTAACAAATTTGTTAGATCTGTATGTGCACTACTATTATTTTGACCGCAGCTGTATACATTATATTAAAACGATTATTTGAAATATGTATGGGCATGGAATTGATTTATGTGAATCAAAGCTATAGTCGAGATAGAGCGACTAGCAAATACCCTGCACAAAGTGTTAGATATTTAATTGTATGTTGTACGATTTCCGATCTTGCTGGAGATATATAAATCTTTAGTATTGTCGATTTGATTGCTATGGGAAATCAATCAGGATCAAATGAACAAAGCTCGATACAAGAATATATCAAGAATATGTATACCTAATGGGATCGCAGATGCTTACCCATTTTCGATGGATTCAGGGCATAATAAAAATGACGTTGAACTTGTAGAACAACTTGGCATTACCACAACATTAACATTATTAACAAAATCAAAACAAATACGTTATTTTTTTTTGCACAGGTAGCATATGTGTTTTTTATTATTATTATTTATTTCTTATTATGTGTTGGGTTTGTTTTATTGATATTGACTTCTGTTTAATGACCTCTTTATAATCTCAACGAGCTTAGTCATTGAGGCGGATAGCAATTGTAAATGGAATTTCGCATTCATTTTGATGAGCTGAATGATATAGATGTTTTTCCCCTTTAAGTTCAAAAAGTTAATTGCATTACAAATGGATCAGTTTCAGTTTGTATATCTATGCACATTTCCCGTATATATTTAGAAGAATTAAAACTATTTTGGAATTGATATTAACCCATTAAACTAATTATGCGTTTCAAGGACTTTAATAAATTTTGATTTCAGATTGATTGATCTGAAAATTGTGCAATTATTTATAAAACTTTATTTATTATTATTTATGGCACATTTTGAAGGCGTCCATTTTTTATAAACGTTGGCAAAATTGGCATGCGATTAATGAAAGTATAAATCAATAAAATCACATCTATTTCCACAGGTTATTCCATAGTTATACCATTTGTAAATCAATGTGTTTATTCGGTTAGATGGATTGATAATAAATAACAAACTGCACATTTATTTATAGTATCTCAGTATATTAACGAACGCACGAGCTTCTGCATAAATATTGAGATAAGCCAAATGAACACAAATGGAAAAATGATAGCCGTTTTCATATCAATATAATCAGAATTATTTTTGATATTAAATTCACACCTTTAATTTGATTTTTCTCTCGATATTGGAAATATGTTCAAATTGATGTTTCAGAGTTCCTCTTTTTTTTCCAAAAATATTTCGGAAAGTTGCGCGTGCGTTGACCGTTTTTTTGTTTTTCTATGGAAGCGTGTTGACGCGTCAAGAACTCAAACCAGACTCACTGCTCAATATGCCAATTGGCCAAGAGTCGTAGCGTGTGAAGTTCCGCCCCGCCCCCTTTGCGACCTCTCCCTACCCCTTGGAAAATGACAGTGACTGTTGTGAGTGTGTATGTGTGTGTGTGTTTTGTTTTGCTTTTGCTTTTCTACCTTGCATTGGCGAGCAGTTGCCTCTCCTTCTCTCTATCCCTCTCGCTCTCTCTTTGTCTAACTATTTCCACCTCTTTCTCGTGTTGTGCTTTTGTTTTTCTGGATGCAGTTTGCAATTTGAAGTTTTTAATTGTTTTATTGTTTTGCTTTTTGCCTTAAAAGCGATCTTATCAGCTCAACAAGCTGTTCAATTCGATTTATAATCAGCGCATATTTGCCAACTTAATCTTGGCAATAGTTATTATTTTGTGATACTTGAAAATAGCATACTTTTAGTGCAGAACTATTTTAACGTTCATAATGCACTCACACAGTAACAGGGATGCACATAATCATAATATAATCATTATCAACATAATCAACATCAGCTGTAGCAAAATAAAGCAGTGCATAGTTACGTAACAGGAAGGAAGCAGTTTAACATAACATAACGTAAAGGGGTAAAGGAGATGAGGCGATATGCGAATTGGAACACAAATAGAATTCGAACTCATGACAATCACAACAATAATGCTACATGCATACACGTTCAAGGATATATGAGTAACATACACAAATATCTACAAACATACATATATATAAATATATATACATATATAACTACTGTTTCTATGCACGTGCCGATCGAGCGATGAACAATATGCAACAATATTGACATGACAATATTCGAAATTCTTCGTCGTTTTGCCGATCATGGCCCAACATGAATTTGAAAGCGCAACAAGCGTTCGTGATTGATCGTTACACCTGCAACTGCCCCGCTTCACATACACTTCTTGTCAAAATAATAGTATCATTCGGACATTTTTTCTTACGTATGTACTAAAGAATAAATCATAATTTTTGCAATCATTTAAAATGCTGTCTTTAATATATTGCTTTTAATATTTCATTGGGAAGGAAAGAGAAATAGAAATCGTCTATTTATTGAAAATTCAACTGTACATTTTATTTAATTTTCTTCCTTTTTCATAAAACTTAATTTTTTTTTTTAAATTTTAATTTTAAAGGAAATTTAAACAAGTTGAAAAAGGTTAGGGAAATAATGATTTTTTTCCCTCCCAATTTTTTATATAATTTTTTTTAAGTGTCTTCTTCCACTTTTAAGAAATATTTCTTGCGAGAGTGGTGCTATTATTATTTTCGTAACTGTGAAAATAAAACTCGACTTGGAACGCATGGAAATTTACCACACTTAATTGGTTGCTGTTGTTGTTTGTGGTTGGTGTCTGTGGTGTGTGTGGTGTGTGTGTGTGGCGCCAGTTAAATGAATTGCATGGAATTCATGACTTGGCTCTTCGGGCAGTTTGGACTTTTCCGACAGCCAGTTTTGTCGCACATTGATAGAAGACAATCAACGTATAGTTCGATCAAACGATCGATGTTTACGGAATTGCACAATTGGATTATATAAGCCAACAACAATGCCAAATGTCAAACGGAAGCATCTGCATTCCGCATTCGAAATGCTCGCAAATATTACAAATATTACCATATTCAATTCAAATCGGTAAAACAAGGGTATAATGTTTCATCAGTGATCTCAGAGACACTGTAAGAATAATTTTGGAATTGAAGTACATTCAGCGCAGAACAAGTTTGCTTCATTTTTATCGATAACTGCCTGCGTTTCGCAAATATCGATACATTTCGATTTTCCATAGCAATAAATGCTACTATTTTACTATATAGAAGTACGAATGAGAAATGAGAGCAATTGCACTCAAAATTCTCAAAGCGAAATAATAATAATAATAACAAAAAAAAATAAATAAAAAAATAGAAGAAATATATTTAAAAGCTGTTCAGTTGGGTTCTAAGGTAGAGAGTATATCGTAGTCGAGATCACTTGACTACAGCAGCATTCTTACATGCTTTGGATCTTCTTCTCTTTTATAATTTGGTTGCCTATTTGAAGGTCGCTAATCGGGCAATAGCGAAACGGTTTTGAACAGATTGATTGCGTTTTATTCGGATTCATTAGATTTATTTTCGAGATCAGAAGCCAAGAGCCCATTGAGACTTGTGCATCATATATACATCATATAGATATATATCTTTGGTTTGTCAGTTTTGTTCCGGGAAAGATGATCAATTCGTTCCATATATTTGTTGGTATTCGTTTCCGTTATGATACTATATGGACTCATTATAATTGTTCACTTAACTGATTCTTAAAGAAATTTTTGAATTTCGGTTCCACTGCTGAATTTCAATTGGTAAAGTTTCGGTTCCGGTTGGTTTTTTAAAAATATTTTTTTCCTTTCTATTTCCTCTGTTTTTAAATAGTCGAATGTGAATTCTCGAAATCATACATTATTTTAATTCATCACACGTTCTATTTCCATATGCAACGATCGATTTTCGATTATAATTCACTGTAAATAGTCTTAAATAGATGTCGAATTGTACAAAATGTACAGGCTGGATTTCCTCATATATGCATAGATATGGTAGTATTACTGCCCTTGTATCTATCTTTTTATATTATATTATATTACTTTCGATATTTTTTTTACACTACTTTTAACACTTTGGATGTGTATGTGGAATATGGAATTTAGAAAAATATAAAATAATAGCTCGAGCACGAACAAATAATAACACAACATAATAATTAGCTCTCGTCTGGAATATATTATTTCAAAACTATTGCTTATCACACGACTGAAACTTACTTAAGACGAGTGCACATCCAATAAAAAATAACGCAGACGAACTTCTGACGCAAATTACGTATTATAATTTATTTACACTTATGCAATACAAAAAAAAATATATATATGGTATATAGAAACTACAACTGTCGTGTATTATACGTGTATATATATATATAAATATATATATATATTATTATATATAAATTTGATAAATTTCTAATGATAAAATAATTAAAGCAACTCCTCCTCGCCAAAGTGTTTGACAATCTGTTTGAGACTCTCGTATGAGCCGGTAAAGAAACCGAGTAGTGCCAGAAGCAATATGATGAGATTCTTCATTGAAATCCAGAGGCCGGGTCCCTTGCTGGGTGCGCTGTGAGCAATCAGCTCGATGACCGGCGGAAAGACCAGCGCCAATGCCGTCGAGCAGAGTGCTCCAATCAGTGAGATGAATAGACCCAAAGCCGGCACCAGTTCTGCTATGGCAACTATATCGTTGTTTCTTCGATTAAGTTGAGTCCACGAGCAACAATGTTTTTTTTTTTTTGGGATTACTTACGCGTCACGATCACAAGCAGGCTGCGAAAGATGAGTTCACCACTCAGGGAACGGCCCTCGATGCCGCACATCTGCTTAGCACTGGGCCACATCACTTGGACGGCGACAAAGAACTGCAGCGGATAGCCGAGCAATACGCCCATGGAGACCATCGCTTTGACCGCCTGCGCCAATCTGTGAGAGCATCGGATTGGAAATGAGACCGATACCAAAACGGGAAAGCAAACCGTTCACGCGAATATCCACAAATTGGTGTCCTGGACATGGGTGCGTGACACCGGCCAATCAAACTATATCTATCCATCTATCTATCTATCTATCTAGCTAACTATCTATCTATCTATCTAGCTATCTAGCTATCTATCCATCTATATATCTATCTATCTAGCTATCTATCTATATCTAAATCCGGTTAACGATTACATTACATACATTATTCTTCAGTTTTGGGTATATCTTTGCTGCAGCAATCGGCCATATCGGATGACTATATCATACAGTCAATATATATCATAAATTTATGGTAAAATTTAGATGAAAACAATTTGATGTTGGTCTAAGTAGGCTTTTCTTTACTGGTGCCTAACAATTTTTGCATTTTGAACAACTATTTGTAGCTCGTGACGTCACGCGCCCATCTCCAGGCAAAGGGAGACAGAGAGAGAGAGAGAGAGAGAGAGAGAGAGAGAGAGAGAGAGATGGCTTACATGGTATCGCCGAGATTGAGGGTTAGACTGCCGCCGACATGCTCGCCCCACTTCATATAGCCAACGCATCCGGCGAACATGAACATGACGGAGACGAGAAACATGCCCACATTGAGAACGCCCAGTGTACTCTCAAATTGTTGCGACTTGCGCATGGCATTCTTCAGGGGCATCACCAGTGCAATGCCTTCGAAGGCAAAGATGGCGGTGCCAAAGAAGAGCGCCAACTGGCTACCATTCGTCCAAAGGGCGCGTTCCTTCACCTCCGGCAAGCCATCCTTCAGTGCATAATATAATGTTATCGCCAGTCCAAGGATCATGCACACATTGGCGAACATCGAGACGGGCGTCAACCATTTCAGATTCGTTATCAGCGAGCTGAGCAGCACCGGGAGCAGGGCCAGCAGCATCACCAGATGCACATCCATCTCAATGCCATAAGCTTTCAGGATCTTTTATTGTTTTTTTTGTTATTTTATTTTATGGATTTCTTATTTTTCTTTCTTTTTTTTGTTGTTTTTGTTAGTGCGTGTGAATTGGTTGCTCACCTGCTTCAGATTGGTGCTGATGAACACAAAGTAGATGCAACAGAATCCCAGCTGGGTAACACAGATGAACACATCCACCAGACGACCCATGGTGCGCGACCAGCCGCGCAACTTCATCGGACCATTCTCGAAGCACATCTCCACAGTGGCTGCATAGTCGGCACAGACCGCGTCCCCTCGCAGATCCCTCATCTTCTTCGAGCAGGCGATGAGCACGTGCTGGCAGTGAATGCTGATGACGGCTATCAGGATGGTGAGCAGCGGTGCCACAACCAGACCACCATTCTTGAATGCATCGCCCATGGCAAAGAGACCGGGTCCAATGTTCCCCTTGAACAGATGCACAATTGTCTCCAGGTAGCTGGCCGGTTCAAGTCATGCAAAATTCAAAATCGATAACAGGCATTCTGAATTGTTAACGGGTTCCTTTATCATTTATTTTTGGTTTCTATTTCCTCATGTTCGGTTAGGAATGGTTAAGATAATGCTGAGTGAACCCTTATTCATCGATTTGTGGAGTTAGAGTTGAGGAATTTTTTTGTATTTGTTATTTTGTTTTTACTTAACTAAGTTAGTTGTTAGGTCTAAACATATATTGGGGTTTTCCTTATGTTTGGTTAGCAGTAGATAATGATGGCTAAACCCGTATTATCCATATTATTAGTTAGTTGTAGATCCAAACAAATTGTGGGTGATTAGGTTTTTTTGGGGTTAGTATTTCCTTATGTTTGGTTAGAAATGGGTTAGATAATGATGGTTAAGTCCTTATGCCTTAGTTTCAATGCATAGATTATTGGTTGAATTTTGGTTAGCTGGTAGCTTGTTAGTATGGGGTTTTGTGTAGTTATCCATTGGCCATACCTTGTGGGCGGGTGATAATCCTCCCCATTGCCAGAGTCTGGCTTTGGGTTAGCTGCTGTTGCCAACGATGATCCATCGGTCGCTGGTGCGAAACTCGTTGTCATCTTTCCATTATTCTGATTATGATTCAGATTCTGATTCCGAGTGCTTTGTGCTGTTGTTGCCTGCGGAATGCTTGGTGCCTTTTGTTCGGTTCGCAGGGGCAATGCAGAGAAAGGCGAATTATTTATTATTATTACTTACGCCGACTCAATTGACAAATGCGAACGCATTGTCGTTGTTCATTTCAATTGCCTCATTTTCGGCTATCATTACTGGTTTTGGTTGTTTTTCTGTTGTTATTGTTATCAGTGCCCTTTAAGTGACTCACTTAAAGCACTTAAACGTGCCCACACAGACATGCCTATTTATGTGTTTGTATGTTTGTATTTACGACTTAATTTACGCATGTGATTTGATTTGTGTATCCTAAGCCCATTAAAAATTGATAAGAGTTTGCAATGAAGTTGTGCAAAACAGGCTGAATGAAGCATGCAGTATATAAATTGCCGAGTCGATTGCAAGCCATGTCCATCTGACCCCAGGGACTTTAAGAGCTAGAAACTTCAAATTTGAAATACAAATTCTTGCTTGCCACTCACATATAAAATTTCTTTAATTTTTTTAGAAAACTGTTATCGTTACGATATCCGTCGTTATGAAGATATAGCCAATATTCAAATGATATATATTTTATATAATATATCCTCACAAACGACTAATCAATCATAAATTTCATAAATATATAATTCATTTCATAATTATCATATTGCCAGCAAGTTTGTTTTTAAATCGATTTAATATGTTTAATTATAGTTAACACATATATATATATTAATATATATAATATATACATAGTAGATAGATACCCAGTTAGTCAAGAGTTCTCTCTATCTTATTTAGAGCACTCTAAAATGTTCACATTGACAAAGCACTTTGATTGTAATCTTTTTTTTATTATTATAGTTATTTTCCAAAGTGATGTGAATCCCAATAACAATTAAATGTACTTAAAAATACCAATAAGGTCGGGGCAGGGTTGGGAACCACGTGACTACAACTAAAGCGATTTGCAGTCAATTTTGCAATGGCAGGGAAATGCTTTCTTTTGAGCTTGGAGCAATATTGCCACAGTCATGCGGCATTCCAAATAATTCCAGTTAACCGCCATAAATTAATTCATAGGCGATAAGAAATGTATTTGTGATATAAAGCCATGATTTATAATAGATTGAATGACTTTCATTGAGTTTATTTCCTCATCATAAATCCGAATAAAAATCTGAGAAATTTTTTATAAATAAACAAAAATGTTTAGTTCCAAACGGAATCTACATCTATATCTATATATGTGTATGAATATCTGAGTATATAACATATATGACCATGGCAAATCAGCGGCAGCAACCACAATAACAACAATTAGCTGGCTATCACGTGCTCAACTTGACCATGTGGATTAAAATGGAAAATAATACAAATCCAACAAAAAAAAGAAATAAAAGTGAAATAGATTTTTTGGAATCCATTTCTCTTTGATAATGGTTTAGCTTTTAGATGAACAAAGTGTCATGCTGATAGATACATTATAAGCTAATTACTTAAAATTTCCAAAGTATGTCTAATCTAATCTCAATTTGTTTTTTTCCGTTTTCTTTCATTCTTACTGATTGAGTGATTGAGTGATTGAGCTATCAGCACTAATACTTTATTGTAATTTAATGAATGAATACAAGTTGTATTGCACCTCTGCCCAGAAGCAATGCGATTAGAATTCACATTCATATTTCATGTGTTTATCTTGCTGCTTAAAATGTGCATCAATAATCATAAAATTTATTTCGTATTGAAATATGACATCGATTTTCAAGAACCAATCGTAAATTAAGCAGGCAACTGGACTTTGTTTTCTGACGAGGGTTCGCAAAGTAAAACAAAAAAAAAAAATGTGTTAATCAATAATAATATAATATTCTATGCGAATTTTTATAAATTAATGTCAATCTTGGAGATTATAATTGACGTGCACGAGTGCCTGCAGCCAAGAGTTGGGCATTGAGGACTGAAGAGCTTTGCTGATAATGTGACACCATGTGGCACTAAGCGCTCAAGTGCCCCAATTGTTTTTTATCAGGATTGTTGGTTGGGCAGCAGTAGGTAACTAGGTAACTAATAGCTGAAACTGGGTCTCTAGATTTTATGCGCTTATCTGCAACAACTCAACTCAAATGACAACTGTAAGGTAAATGGCATGAATTGTTTCTGCTCCGTTCATTTTATTGACATCCATATCAGACGATCAAAACAGGAACTATTAACTATTATGCTACACTCAGAAAAATAAATCTATGCAGCAATGTGTTTCAAAAAAAAAAACTTAAGATTTCATGGCAACATTTCGTTACTATTTCAGAAAGGATTTTTCTAAATATGTCGATTTTAGAAAGATATTTTCGTATATTTAGAAATTATTTCGAAAAAAACAAGAAAAACGTTTCAAAAAGGCTGATTTTTTTCTGAGTGAAAGGAACTAACTTGTGATAAGATTATTAGATAGAAGTATTATGTTTCCTCCAATTTCGCATTGACATAAAAGAGAGATTCGAGTGATTGGGGCGTATCATAAATAGGGCGTATCATAAATTGTGTGATTTGTGTATCTGTATTATTTGTGTATGTATTTTTCATTCATTCATTTGTGGCAGCCAATTTAATGTCTTTGAGTGGAAATTTTCCATGCACGTCAAGTTTGCTTCGTACTTAATGCATTTGGTGCACTGGCGGCATATTGCCAGTCTGCAATTGGGATGACCATGGGTATGGTGCATGTGGGGCAGGCACTCTTTTCTCTGTCAGTTAACTGCTACCCAAGATCTGGCAATAAAATGCAATACAAATGATATGCACAAATAAGCCAAGCTTAATAGAATGTTGTGTATAATGTCTCCATTAAATCTAACAACAACATTGACATTTGTTTGCTGTTCATGTGTAATAATTGTAATACTTAACAAATGGCAAATTGACAGTTATCTATGAATGCAACAGTTTCTCAACTCTCTAATCGCTAAATAGTTACTTATGCATGATAAGATAATGGAACACAACTTGAACTCCTGTATTTTATTCATTAACTACATGTTCAACGTAAAAAAATGTGTAACAGGTAAAGTATTGTGTTGAACATTTTATAAACGCATAAGATTTATTGCATTATTAAGGAAAAATATTGAAAGAATAAATTGTTTTTTATTGTAGGTATAAGTTAAAGATAATAAATATATATGCTCTTGGATTTTGTTTTTGGGTTCAAACATTCAATAATAATCAAAATAAAAGTGTTTTTGAGCTATAAACAAATCGACAAAAATTTTTTTTTTATTTGATTTTAACTTTTATATAACCCAAAAACTTATATTTTTTATAGAAAAAATATAAACAGAGGAAATAGTAAAAACAGAAAACTGTTTTCGAGAAAAAATTACAAAATATATGTTTTTTTTTTGAGTAACAAACAAACCCATTTTTTTTTCTGTCCCCTTTAAACGCCGCCACTGCTGACATGTGCAACCGCTGTCTGCATCACTTTGAGCACAGCACAGCTTTGTTGCTGTTGTTGTTAATATTACGTGTTGCATTTGTTGTTGTTGCTGTTGTTGTTGCTGCTGACTTTGCTGCTGACTTTGCACTTGAATTTACATTCGAAAAATGAAAACAAAGTTTGCCTTGCTTTGGGTCTGAGAAGCGAATGTAACTGGTTTTGTGACGTCTTATTAGATGCTCAATTACAAATTTATGAGATGCACAGTAAAAAAATTAAGTAAATAAAAAATAAAAATTAATAATGTGTAAGACACATATTTGATGTAGTTTAGAGGCTATATATTTATATATATATATATATATATATATATATATGATTTATATTTCCCACACACTTTTCGACGTTTTCTAAGTAAGATCACACAAGATGTTTATATGTATAAATTTATGTTTATATTCTATAAGCGCTATTTACACACCTCTGCATCCATTTTGGCAGCTGCTGCTGGCTTGTTGTTGCTGTTGTTGTTGATGGGAGAAGTCGGTCAATGTACGAGATACGACCTGGCAAATAAAGCGGACGCGTAATTTGCCGAAATTCCTTGGCGCGTTTTTTGTTTGATTTTTTTTTAATGATTTATTTTTATTGCATTGTTCTAATTATTATTATTATTGTTGTTGTTGTTGCTGTTATTGTGGTTCGCTTAATTGTGTCATGTGTTGCTCTTGCTGTTGTTACTGCTGCTTGTTACTTATTACTTGTTACTGGCGGCGTCGAACGGATACGGATGCGTTATTGCCGCTTTTGCGATGAAATTGGCCTAGAACGTTGTCAACTTTGTGTGTTAATCGCTTCACGAAATCATCAAGACTGACTGAGACTCTGTGCCGTTGCCGCTGCCGCTTCTCATTGACGCTGCTGTCGCTGCTGCTGCTGCTACCGCTGATGTTGCTGTCGCCGCTGCTGTTGCTGTCGCCGTCGCCGTCGCAATCGTTGCCATAACGATGACGGTCGTTGCTTGAGTTGCCCCCACCCCTGTTGCTTCACTTTCCCCCTAACCAATGTACAACTGCCGCATCCGTGGTAGCCACACATTACAATACAATGTAATATATATATATATATATATATATGTCCAACCGGTTTTTTATTTTCTTTTGGTTTTTTTTTTATATTTTTGAAAAACAAAAAAACACCCACACCCTTCGCAATCGCCACCGGCACTTGCGACATCTTTCTGTCGAGCGATCAATTGAGCGCTTTTCGAACAGGTTACAGGTTGTCGCTGTCAGCTGATGGTGCAGCATCGACATGCAACATCAGCTGAGGGAAATTCTTGACGCTGATGGAATATTATTAAAGGGTATACAATGTGTCATGTGATTCAAGTATGTACAATATCATAAATAAAATATATATATAAATAATATTTATCCATTTTAGCAGCTGTAAATATAAATGTTTATATATATACAAATATCTATATCGCTTCCAGTGGCAGTTTCCGGTGAGCCACTGGTAAAACAACCTGGCCAGAAACAATTGATTCTGCTGATAACCAGGAAATTTTTATGCCACATCAGCGTTAGCCAATAAATCTATTTAATAACTCGATTGCAGATTGCATTCGCCGAATATTTTCGCTTTTATTTATTATCTAGCAATGCTTAAATAAATAAATAAATGTACAGGGTACGAAGTAGTTTAGGTGGCAAGTATAACAATTGTGCAATTTGTTGGCAGCACTTCAAGAACACAAATGATCGATGGCGCTAGGACAAAAACAAAAAATAATCAAAAATGATTTACTTGGAACGGAATGCGTTTACAGGGTATTTGAAATGCGTTGCTCAAATTTTGGCATCACTTTCTTGTTATATGTATGCTGCCATGCTACAATAAACGGACCTTTTAATGAACAATTTTATTTATTTTTTTTTTGTATTTTATTTTCATTTTATTTTTAAAGCAAATGCCGCCAGTCTTTTGAAGAATTGTTCATTCCATGGCTATTGGGCGACACACACAGCATATTTTCTTCTTGTCGTTGTTGTATCTGACAATGCCACTTGAAATTGGCGTGTTCCATGCACACACACACACACACACACACACACATACACACACACACACACACATACACACACACATTCAGTTTAATTGGCAGTGAGCAGATAAATTGTGATAGTTTCGGCCCCCTCCTGCTTGAGGACTGTCCACTGTCTCCTGACCTTGGCTTCAAAACTGTCGTGTATTTAGTGTGGACAAAGACACATACACAGATCTCCTAGACTTATTTTTCTGCCTCTTTTTTAAATGATCATCGTCTTTTTGTATATTTATAATTAAGCACTTAAATATTTTTGGCAGCATACAAATAAGAGTTCAATATTTCAATGCCCATCGTTAGGTTAAGATGCATATAGACAAGTATGTATTTATATAATACCTTGTAAATAAAAAATAATTATATTTTTAATTATATTCTATTTTAATAATATGTTTCAAATAGTTGTTAACATCGAAATATAAAAACATACCTAATACAAATGCTTTTGAATTTATGGTAATCTATTTTCCCAAAACGTAAACAATTAATTATTTCGCTTACATTTAAATTAGTCATAAAATAGTAAATCAAATAATTAATCACGTGTTTTCTTTTTCGATCATACATATATGTATTACTTACTATATTTATAAAATATTTTAAATAGTTGGTTGATATATAATAATATAAATAATACAAATGCTGTTGAATTTATGGTAATCTTTATTCCAACAGGTAAGCATTTAATCATTTCACTGACATAAGTCATAAAAAAGTAAAATAGTGGTCAGTAAATAGTAGCAAAGTGTTTTTTCTTATTGTATATATATATATATATATATATTAGTTATCGAAATATAAAAACATAAATATTACACGTGCTATTGAATTTATGATAATCATTTTTCAACAGGTAAGAAATTGTTTACATTATTATTTTCTTATTCTATGTATATTTTATTTTATTGGTTCTATGTTATATATATTTTAGTATAATAGCTATGTACTTATGTATGGTCTGTAAATGCTGGCCGAATTTCAAGTGGCTCTCGTGCGGTTTTGCAATTGCTCTTGACTGCGACAATCATGAGTATTTGTTGCTGTATACTTTAATTACAAATAGTACTTGTTAGCACATACACATATAGACATATACACATATTCACATATACATATAATCTTGCTTAACTAATGCCAAACTAATATTATTTACAAGTACATAACATATATATATATATAAATATATATAAAGCCTTAAAGAATCGTAATTGTATTGAAATTTGAACTTTTTTTTTCATTTTTTCTTTTCTTTTATTTAATAAATAGAATTAAGACAATTAAAAAAAAAAAAAAATTTTGGGATCGCACTAAAGTGAATAATTTTGAAAGGATATATTCCCACAACGTATAAACAATCCATGTAATAATTATATGTATAAAAGCAGTTAATACTTTCGTTAATGGTGTAGTGTTTAGAAATAATGAAACATTTTCATGAAATATATTGGATTTCGTGTTACGAATATTATTTCATAGTGGCAGTGATATTTTTCGGAGACACGCAGTTTCGTTTAAGAATTCGGAATTAAGTTATACGATGGGCTTAAAAAGAAGCTTAAGCATTAAATTACATAAATAACAAATATGGTACAAAGCTGGACCCACCACATGCACAAGGTGGACCCCATAGCATGCACTCCTCTAACGAAAGACCTTAAAAAAGTATAACTGAAGCTATATCAATAAACGAGTTCGAATCAAGACCTTAAATTAGGAATATTTTTAGCTAGTTTTGGAGCGCGTAAAAGTATCCCTATAAATTGCATGACGAATAACACTCATCTAATATAGTTATATAAATGTATGTGTATAAGCTAGTCTTTAGATTAAACAGCTAAGTCTACCAACTGACAAATAGATGAAGAAATAAAATTCTGTTTCGAGGTTTTGGTTAAGTACTATTTGCCAGCCGAAGTTCGAACTTAAGTAAACATAATGGCACATTGAAAGTCCCACAACCAGAATCTTTAACTGTTCTCCAGCTACAGCTGTTGCTCTTCATCATCATCATCATCATCATCTTTGCCAGCATTCACATGTGACCCCACCAGGTGGCGCTCGCCTGATAGTAGCCATCGTTGCCCCAATTCAATACGCTAAGCGGCGGCGGTGGCGGCGTCAAGGATAACACATCAAATTCATCATTATCTGCATCTTCAATGCTATTGTTGTTGTTGTTGTTGCAGCCGAATAGTATCCTTCTGTGATGTTTCTTGTGCTGCTGCGGCTTGTGCAGCAGCAGCTGCTTGAGCCTGTTGCGCTTTCTCCCAGGTGCAGCAATGCGCCGCACCAGATCCCATCCGACGGTGCCCTCTTGTTAGAAAACATTATGGCTAGTTTTCGCGGCCAGGAATGGCTTCTCCTCGTTCATCTTCTCCAGATTGCCGCTGAGCGTCGGATCTGTCGGTCGCATTCGCTTAAAGAATCCACACTTCCACATCGCATACGTGAATAGACCCAGCAGCAATAATCCGCCGAGCACCGCCAATATGTAGACCCACATTGGCGTATATGTCTCACGCTGCTGATCCAGCAGCTCCGGATAGGCGCGTGTTTCCACCTTGAGGATTAAACAAGAAATTCAACAATTACTTTCTGATTGACTCTCAATATATGTCTATATAAAAACATTAGCGAACCGGTTCCAAAACTGCGAAGCTTCTCTAAATTTGTCAAAGCTGTACCGATTTTCAAAGATGTTATTTAGATTAGTTCTGCCTTAAAAATCGATGCACATTGTTTGCAAGCAGTTCAAGTTGAGTTCATGTTTATCTTTTTACTTAAAACCGGTTCGGAATCGGTTTTTATGTGTACATACCACAATAAGATTATTATTCTCAAGCTGTTCCACGCCAAAGTTTTGCGGTATTTTAACATGGGCCGTCGACATAATCCTCACGAGATCGACACGAGGATATTCGGCGACGAGCGTTGAGTTCCAAAGTCGAACCTTTAAAGTGACCTGTGCCTCCGTTTTGGCCGGCATCCCAAAGAACTCGCATTGGATTTTGATGCACTGGGCGGTATATTTATCGCAGTTGAGTTCCACAATTTGCTGCTTCTTGCCTTTGCCGCCCACCTCGCGTCCATCCATGAAGCGTTCGGGTCGCACAATGCGCTCGATGGTGTTGCGGGGCAAGCGATTCGCCCGAAAATGGGTCTTGTTCAGTTGCAGTTTCTGCAATTGTTCCTGGCGGTGCGTTGGCCACTTCGCCATAGAGGCCAGCTTGAGGGGATTAACATATTCAGGCGGCACCGTGCATTCACCCTGGCCGGTCTCAATTTGGGGCTTATCCTCCAGATATTGCAGATACTGATATTTGCCGCCACCGTGCTTCAGATCATCGCTATGTCCGCTCTCAAGCCTCAGCGGCAGAAAGATGTCCAGCTGGACCTTGGGCGCCGTCGAGGGACCCTCGTTAAAGATGAAATAGGTGTGCACCAGCGGTGAGCCAATATCGTCCAGTTCAATGGGTAAATCTTGTAGCTTGGAAACGCCACTGTAGAAACTCTGCTCGGGATTAACCCAGCCACGTACCGTCACCTCCGCCTGTCGCACCACACGCACTGTCAGCTTGCTCTCAGGCAGCTCTTTACCCACCAACTTGGAGGTGGTGTTCGCAAATATGTGGAATAACATTTGCGTCTCCTCCGCCTCCAGGCTGTTGGGATCGAAGCGTATGCTCACATGTATGGTGGTGCCACGCAACATCGGGTTGCCCAGGCTGCAAGCCACAAGTGTCGTATTAAAGCTGTTGCAAGTCGCATTTGTCTATCGTAGTTTAAGATGGTAAAGAGAGAGAGAGATATAAATATAGATAGAGAGAGAGAGAGAGAGAGATAGGGGTAAGTTGAGGGAGACATTGCTTACCGGTTTCTTCGTCGCTATGTAAGATACGCTCTTCTGATGCGCGATGAACAACTGTGCCTCGTAAGCCGAGTCCGCCAGATTGCTCACATTCACCATAACCTCCAGTTCCGTTGTGTTTCCCTGGATCAGTACATATTCACCATCTGTTCGATGTCAATAAATATCACAATTAATTTAAGTCAATCTATATTAGTATTTGAACTTCAATGAACTACGTAATACTCACCCTCTGGTGTAAGATTGGGTTCGGCATGAAGTCGCAAATTACTCTCGCATAGATCATCATCCCCGCAATCCTTTTGGAACGTGCCCTCGAACTCAATGTAGGCCTGCGTTTGATCCAGAATGGGATTCAGACGCGTCAAAGGCGAGTCCGCCAATTCGGGTTCCTCCAGTTTCCAGTCCAGCCGGAAACGAATGGGCGTCTGGATGTCGCGAGTGTTGGCCTTGATGTAAGCCGTGACCATTTGGCACTGGACGCCACCATCGGTTCGCACCCGAACCCGTCGACTGATCACGTTGCTCCGCTTGTTGTCGTGATCAAAGAAAGCACGCGAGATCTTCTTGTGATTCTCGGAGGGCTCCGCCTCGACAGTGTATACCAAATTGATCTGCTTGCTGAGCTGCTCGTGCGGTTCGATGCTGCTGCACGCCTCGAACGTGAAGCACGTTAAATTTGTGGATACATCCATTCGACAGCCCGCCCGATTGGGATCAATGTTGCGTGTCTCACTGCTCCGATACGTTGTCTGTATGTTGATGATGGGACGGGCGAGGACAACAACGGCGGCGGGCGGTGCACCTACAACCATATCCACGTAGGAGTTACCATCCAGATCCATGTTGCCCGCTATCGAGATGCCAAAGTTGCGTATTGGCTTCGGGAGATTTATGCCCAGATCGGAGGCTTGAATGCGCTGTGAGGGCTTCTCGTTGAGGCCGTTGCGTGAGCCAAGGAAAACGTAGACGTTACCATCGCCCTCGTAGGGTGCACCCACAGCAATATCCTCGCAACCATCTTTGTTTAGATCACCAATGTTGGCCAGTGCCAGACCGAATCGACTCTCCATGGCGCCCGTTAGCCGCAGCGTCCAACTCTGGGGCAGCTTGTCATTGTCATTCTGATAGATATAGACGGCACCGCCGTCACTCTTCGAAAAGTATAACGGTGCGCCAACAATTAGATCCGGCTTTTTATCGCCGTTAATGTCCGCCGTCGCCAGTTCGTAGCCAAAGCTCGAGCCGAACTGTTCGCCGTTAATAATCATGCGCTCGGGTATTGGACTGATTTTGGCCTTGTCAAAGATGACCACCTGACCGCAGCCATTGGAACGGGGTGCGCCCGCAGCATAGGACATCTGTTCGCCAAAGTAGCGACCTCCGGTTACGGCCATACCTAGATAACTGTACTTATCCACCGGAGAATGGGTCTCCGAGTGATCACTGTAGTACATATTCTTATCCCGCTGCAGATACTCGCCCCCAATCTCCGTTACGAAAATGGCGCCGCGCCACGTAAACGGACCCGGGGTGCCCAGCACCATTGTATTGTCATCCAGTAACGCACCGGACGTGCCCGACTGACAGAACCCATAGTCCTCGTGTTGCCTGCAACGCAGAAAATAAACATGCATACATTAAAACGTGGCAGTGGCAGGCTGACATTAACAAATGAGTCCAGGGTCAGTTATCAACTGGGTGGGGTTGAGTGGTCCTTTCAAGATTTAGTGAAATTAAGTTGTGTCTAGAGGTGGTTGCGTGTACTAATTTAGTAATCATTTTTATTATTTTTAGTCGACTCGAGAACTGTTATTTTTTTAGAAAGTTGTTCTACATTTTCGTTGTAATAATATTACAGCAAAATTGACGAAAAATATATTCAAACAGACTTGCATATCTGAAGTCTAAGGCTAACCACAAAATCTTGTAAAACTAAGTAAAACGCTCCAGAAAATGTTTACTTTATGCGAATTTCTTTGGCTTTATGTTCATTGCTGTAATTCACAACATTTTCGAGTTCGTGTCACAAGTTGGGTTCGGGGACACTTCTGGAACACGCGATACCAGCGCAATGAATAATTGCATGTCCAAGTCCAAGTCCAAGTCCACGTCATCTCCATATTGTCATATAACATATACCATAGCATTTGTGCTTTGTTTTCGGTCAGCGTTTTGGGTGCGGTGCGACCCTGTTTATCTATAGCACCCATTCTTACCATACACAGACCCTACTAACTTCCCTTCCCAGTTTCAGTTCCTGCTACATGCGCTGACATTTAAATAAATTAAAATTTCGCCCTTATGACATGGGTTCCTGCAACGACGACGAGGACGTCATCGGTGTCACACCTGACCAGCTAGCTGTCCCCAACCCTCCTAAATCTTTTTCTATTCACCCGCACATACACACGATGCATGCTAATTGGCTTAAACAGAAGCTAGACACGCGTTGCTTTGTTCCTTAGTTTGCTTCCCCATTTAGTTTTCAGAGAGTTTCCTTTTTAAATACAATTAATAATTTATACATACATACTTCACCTTGACACTTTTTCGGTGTATCCCTCGGTTTCTTCTATTTCCGTTGCTGACAGCTTATGCAATGAACCAATGAAACCTGACCATGTCTAATTTACAACTTCAAATTGATTCGACAGGGAAATTTTTCATTTTGAATATGCAGTGCTCGAAATTTTTTGATACTTGGCTTCCAATGTAAGACATTTTAATTTTCTTTTTACACATTTCTAAATGCTTTCAAGCCTTGATTTGCCTAGGTTTCATAGTTTTTCACCCCCAACTCAAGTCTAAAGTTTCCTAAAGCAAAAAGAAATCTTTAGCATTTCAGCTTAATATCCTAAATTTGGAATATTTTCAATTCGAGGTGTTAATAGAGAAATCCTTGCTAATAGGTACATATTTACACCCCACCCAAGTTAAGCCACATATCTTCCCCCGAAACTAAGCGGGTTATAGCTTTAAAACTAACAATAACACTTTCAAACACTAACCTTTGCACGGTGCGTCCTTTGCACGGCTCGTAGACCTCGTCATACTGTAGTTCGTTGGTGAGGACATAGCACATGCCTTGCCCATAGAGATTTTCGGCCATTTTCGTCACGTAGCGATGCGCACAGACGAGCACCTTTTGAATGAATCGAGAGAAACGAGGATCAGTGGGGATATAAATATATACGATATGCAGTGAAATCGAATTATGTCTTGGGCTTACCTTGCCACCCAATCCTTGGGAACGGACAGTAACGCCCATCCATTGCCCCTCTTTAATCTCGTCGTCAGATGGCGGTGTCAGCTCATCACCATCGTAGTCTAAAGATGGCGCCAGGGAGTAGATAGAATGTGCAAAAAGTGTTTTGTTTTTTTCTTGTTAGCAATGTGTGTGACAATAGAATATACATACATAAGTATGTGTGCGCGGGTGTATCTGTGTGTGTGTGTGTCGCATCAGTTACAATATTAACAACAACAGCAGTAACGACAACAACAACATCAATAACAACAAATGTGATATGCATTAACAATTAGGTAATTCTTGTTTGTTTTTGTTTTTAATTTTCAAATAAGTTTATAAGAAACTAAACTAAACTCAAATTTACAGTATTTACAGTATTCACAGTCTGATTTTGTTAAAATTACAACAACAATTAAATAACATTAAAAGCAACATCAGCAAGAAGAGAGAGTGAGCGCAAGAAGAATAAGACAGCCTCGCTCAGACATCGCGCACATGTGCTGAAGAGGTTGGGGAAGGAGCGGACTTGAAGGGGAAGCTGCTGCTCTACTTATAGATATCTGCATAAACATACATATGCAACGCGCTGCTCAGCACATGTGCTACACAAGACAAACAGCAGAAACGGGAACAGGAGAAACACCAGCAACACAACATCAGCAAACTCAGCAACAAGTGCACAAAAACCAAACGAAGCATGAACTACAAATTATAAAGCGATCGGCATGCGGACTGTTCGACTATAAGATACCACGCAATAAGAAGCAGTATATGAAGTATAAGCAAATAAATATAAATATTCGAGATATATGTATATAGATTGAGCTTGAGAGATATTATTGCTGAATTTAAAAAGCTATTCATGCAAAGAAGCTTGGGTTATAGTAATTACCATATATGTAAAATTAATTTATTAATCGAAAAATTAACAGACAAACAAAAGCAATTTTATAAACTCTATAGCTCGTACAATCGTACAGATTTGTGGTGTCCTTCGCTTAGTTTGTCATAGAAATGTGCATACCCTATGCATGTGTTTTACATGGGCAGGAAGCAGAAAATGGAAAGCGCTGCCAGCGTCGCTGTCAACTTTTGATAGAATGCAGCAGCAGCCGCAGCTGCAGCCGAAGCGATGTCGACGTCGACGGTGAAGTTGGCATTGGAGTTGAAGTTTTGGGACGGGGTGTTGTTGTTTGCGCCGGCTTAGGCCATGTACCAATGCACGCACATGTGCCATAAAGAGAGAGAGAGAGACCGATAGAGTGAGAGCGCGAAACTGCACATGTGTGTGTGTGTGTGTGTAATGGGTGTGAAACGTAACGAAATTGATTTAAAATGCATTTTAAAGCATCAAAGTGTTGAAATAAGATAAATGATCATTACAGTGTGCCCGCGGCGATAACATAAAGAGCGCGGGAGAGCGAGAGAATGCTGATTGCAGTTTTTGGATGCGAGGTGTGCACTAAGCGTTTATCATTTATGATTGTTGAATCGAAGCTTTGTTATTGGTGGGGCGTGGGTCGATCGGGCGGCAGCCGCTTTTATACGTGTTTGACACGTAAAGTGAAAGTCACGAGACGCTATGCGACGCAAGCGCAGCTGACAAAAAAAAAACATACAAATTGCGCCTGCGCCCCACGCGATTTTTGGCTGCAGCTGCAGTTTAATATTTTGCAATGGCCATACAAACATGTAAGTTCGTGTGGGTGTGTGAGTGTGTGCCTGTGTGTGTGTGAGTGGCTTAGTATGTGTCTTTAAGTTGGCATAGGCCCAATGAACTTTTGCACTTTGCGGCGCGTTTTTGACATTGACAGTGGGGCTGTTGGGCTGTTGGGCGGTGGCGAGGGTGGTGTTGTGAGCGAATATTGGTTTTTTGTTGAGGGGAATTTGGCTCAACAATTTGAGACGCCCCAAGAATTTCTTCATGCCACACAAATTTGCGTTTGTCGCAGCTATTTTTATGCGCATTGCCAACGCTGCTGCGGCTGCTGTTCTACTTGTTTTTCTTATGCTTAAGCATTTTGTGAAATTTGTCACGTTCTCTGAAACTGTGCGGCAGCCGCTTTGGGGGCGCTTCGGCCAACAACTGCACGCTCTGATTGCCGCGCGTTACTATTAGCAAAGGCCATAATACACAAGAACAGCAACAACTACTGCAAAACGGGCACATATCGCAAAACATTTGGAATGCCAACAGAATGGGAGTGGCAACGAGAGGGAAGTGGGCAGATGCAGATGCCATACATACGAAAACTTTTTAATTTACATCTCAATAATGAAATGATCCGGCGCTGAGTCCATCTATAATTAATGCTAACTGAGTCACCAATTGGTGGCAAACAAAAGCAATGCATCACAGTTCCAGTCATTAGCGCAAAACGAAAAATTCTTAGAAGTCATTTTTGGAGGGGAAATGCCTAACATGTGACCAGATGCCAGCAAATAACAAGAGTGACTAAATGAAAAACTGTTCAATCAAATAATCAACGGGAGACAGCAGAAAAACGGTAAATCTATGCAAAACTATCGAATATTTATGAATTGTATGCGAAAAAAGTAATAATAGAGTGCTCATCGATCAGATGCTATCCAAGCTGAAATCCATTTAATAAATCTTTTGTTCATAAATACAAATTATTACCAAAAGCATTTATTTAAAATGTCACTAAACAGTTTTGGTAATTGAAACACATTTGAAATATACAATTCTATACAAGTTTTCTTATTTTCTAAATTTATGCAGGCCACAGTTGTTACGTCTCTCAGCGAAATTGTGTTCTTAATTTAGCTTTAAACGTAAAATTGTATTTATGAGATGCCAGAATAACTGGGAATTCCTATCGTTCTATTTATTTGTTTGGTAAAAACCGCAATTAATTATTTCATTTGATATTTGATTATTTGAATTTGAATTTGATAAACGAAATAAAAAAATGTTGCAAGTTGCAAGTTGCAATGTTGCCATGCCAATAAGTTGCCTGAGAATATTGCGTGAATTGTTTCTAAATGGTACACAGACACAAGTGAGACTGAAAAGTCAGTTAGAGTTATAGTTTTTAGTAACAAGCCAATGGCAAACAAGTTATTAGCACAGAGCGAAGTCCTAACGCCAAATACAAATTCCAGAGCGGCTCTTAACCCCGAGCTATTCCAGTTCTTACAATGCTGAGCAATGATTTAGACAGTGATTTAGTTAATTACAGTGATTGCTCATTCAAATGATGTCAATAAATGGATGTTGGAAGTTGAAGTTTAGTCAAGTAGTAAATTGTAAATTGGTTATAATTGTAGACTCAATATTGTGATTATATATACAAATTTAAAATATAAATATTATGTAAATTAGTGCGAAAAATATGTGTATTATATTAGCTTAAGTTGAGTATTATATATAAATATATATGTATATATACATATAGATGTGTGTGTGCTTTGTGCTTGAAGATTGTGCTGCATTTTGCGCTCGCATGCAATAGAAATAAATGCCGTTAGCTTTGAGGCATGCGTGCGAAACTGTACAAATAATGAGTGAGCGCTAATTGGCAACACTTTTTGAGTTATCGAATGGTATTTATCGTATTTATCGTATGTGTGCGCTGCATATTATTATTCAGTGGTTAAAAAGAACATTGGTGAGAGAGATCAAAGCGCATATGCAAATAATAAAATAAATTTGTAACAAATAAATGAAATGCTTTAATTGTGTTTTAGTTTTTGGTCTTGTTTGTTATTTTTAAATATGTGGGCAAAACAACAACAAATAAAGCACCCATACCACTTACTAGATAGATAGTATCCTTCAGATGCTAAATGACAAATTCGTTTTTTGTTTTTTTTTTGGATTTTCGGGTTGACGAATTAAAAATGTCAAAAGTAATTGGTCAATAATTTTGGTTTTGGTTGTGGTTTGTTCAAAATTTTTTGGGAGAAGTAATGTGTTTTCCATATGCGCACCGAATATATTATATATGTAAATATATTTTTTATTTTTTTTGGGGGGATTTAAGCAAAGAGTAGAACGAAAATAAAAATAAAGAAAAAAAGAAAATTAAAAAAACGCATATAAAATAACAATTAATATGTGTGTGTTTGAAAAGATTACTAAAATACTGGTCCTATACAATTAAAAAAATATAAGATTTATATTTATATTATGGATATATCCATGTAGTATGTATGTTGCCTATAGTAAACATAGTAATTTAACTAACATTAGAGTGTTAACAAATTTTAGTCACATTTCTCTATATAGCTGTAATAAGGCAAGGGATTTTATATACATAGACAAAAAGTAATCTCAAACGCGATACATTGTTATATTCTAAAAGATATTAGACCTTAATCTCGTACTGCACTCAGCGTTATCTATAGTAAATCTTAGCAAATCTGTTAGTCACTGAACATTTGAAAAAAAACAAGCTTTCTTTTATTTAAAGTTTGTTTAGCATTAACTATAAGCATGACTATCCCTATTATTATTATTATATCTAGTGTGTATATTTCCTGTACTCCGAATGTAAAACCTTCACCTCACAGACGCAGCAGTGTTAGTTTATTATAGACTAACAACAGATAAAATATATTATATACCTGTTACTTACGATAAACTTTTCGTTTTTTTTTTTTTTTTGTTTTTTTTTTGTTTTCCAATGCTGTGTGCTTTGTGAAAACAACTTAAAACTTGGCTGCGTAAAAGTAAATTATTATATAATCGAAATAAAATTAAGAATAATTATATACGTAGTGCTTATCGCTAAGAGTATTGTTATTGCCTTAATTGGATGTATATATGCATGGGCTATACTTACATCGTCTGCCATCGGTTATGACCTGTTCACAATCGTCAAAGTTCGTTGATATGGGACACTTATATAAAGCGCCCGATTGATTGGTTTGCGGCTGCCTATTACGATCCAATGGAGCGCCGACAAGCAGACTGTAATTGAAACAGAACAGAACAAAAGAATGAGTTATTGCAGGGTTCCTTCGGATCAATTGGCATAAACCGCAAGAAAAGATTAAAGTTAGCTGAAACTATGGGTCTATAGATAGATCACGACCGATGATCGCACGATCCGACGATCAGTTGATCGATACGATCTCAAGTAACGGCCCAATTTGCTCCACGGCTTGACAGCTATTCAGTTTACCAGACGACTTCAACTCTACAACAGCGGTCAGTTTTCAGTTTTCAGTTTTCGAAGTTGGCTGATTTTTCGGTGTCTCGTTTTTTTTGGGGTTTGAGGTTCACTTCAAGTGGCAAAAGTGAACTAAAGTCATGAGTATGGCAAATTGTGCTGCTCTGGGGCTTGAGAAAGAGATAGGGGGACTTACTTTGACAATCAAATCGATTATTGTAGGTGGAACCAGTTCAATGCACCTTTTTTTTGCTCTGCTCACAGGGGCTTGCCAAAATGTAATTACTTAGGACTGTTCAAAAGCGTAGTTTCGACAGGGAAAATGGTAGCTGGTAGCTGGGAGGGAGGTGGGGATAGTCGGGGGTGATTTGAACCTGGGCGCGTCAACACGAAAAGATGTTGCTAATGAGCAGTCGTCTATAAGGCGAAATGTCTAAAAAGCTGCTTCACCCACGTTGCACAGTGTAAACATGCAACTTCATTATCCTCCAAGCGGCAACAGCAACAGCAGCAGCGGCAACAGTTGCCACTTTATGGGCACCATTAAGTGTGTGGCACCTACACACACGTTGCCACACGGCTAAGTTGCATCTTTAAGTGCTTCCACAGTCAACAATAACAAGAAGAACAACGGTTAAGCCAGAGTCGAGGGCAGGTCCAAAGTCATTTGCTGCTTCTTTTTTTTTGTCGCCTTCCATTTGACACTAAACCGCGGACATTACACAACACTGGCCGTCTCTGACACTTTTTTACGATGTTGCTTTAAGTGTTTTGGTTTTTAGGTGTTTGCGTAAACACCTTTCAAATTCAAATTGTTTAATGCATTTAACATTAGTTTGCGTTTGGGTATGTTGCCCCAACCCCCCTTCTTTGTTGCGAAATAGTTCTTTTGATTAAGCCAATGCTGCAAAACTCTTTCAAATAAAGCACTAAGTAACTTACTTAGTACTCGCTATATTCAAAAGCTGACAAACATTTGATACTCAGTCTTGGTATGATCTAAGATCTACATTAAAGTGCGTTTTTTATGCTTCTGATATGTTAAAAAAACAAGTGTATCGTCGTTGTGGATATGAGTGTCGTGACTACATATAAAAAGACTGTAAAAACACTGACAACACTTTATATAGCATACATACTATGTAAGTATTATAGTCTTGTATCGACGCATCTTCGTTTACCGCAAGCAGCTAGCAAAATTTATGAACTAGTTCTCCAGCTCAAAAGACATAAACTAGTCGTTCGGGCTACATGGAGCCATTAATTGAGATTGTAATAACTTTTGAATATCTTAATGCACACCCACTGAACCAGCAAAATAAACTGAGAACTGGTTCCAGCCAGCCAGCCAGCCAGCCAACTAGCTAGACCTGATTCGGACACTTAAAGACTGGACTTGAGGCTCTGACCTGCCCCCTTCCACCGCCTATACCGAATGTATGCACGTGTGACACTGTGCAACACTGCTGGCCACTGGTCGCATTTCCATGCCGCTTTTATGGCCTGCCCGTGTCACGTTTGCTTAATTCGAAATCTGGCTGGAGAGTGTCTTGGCTTACGATCTAAGGCCTCGTTATTGGGCCAATTGGTTGGGTCTTTTGGATCGCGGCCAGTTGGCTGCTCATTTAGCATGTTTAGTCTCATGTCAACTTGCGAGATTTGGTAATGAAATGTTGAAAAAAAATTATAACAAAAAACAAATGTATGCTGTAGTAACGAGTGCTCGACTGTCAAATGCCCTTTAGTTAGGTCTTCAGTATAAGAAATTGCTTTGAATCTATAACTTCCAGAAACCAGAGTCGTCTAGAAATTATAAGCATTTGGAGAAGCAAATTCAAATTAATTTCGAACTGACCTGCCTGCAATTGATGTTAACCTTAATGTTAACCCCATATCAAGTTTGTTATTCCCAGGAGATTTAAGAGATAGCTTGATATATGAATATATCTGACTTATGAGATTGAAGATGGCTGGTTTGAAACTTTACAAAGTTACAGGGTATGTATACATAATGCCTTGATGAAAACAAACAAGGGAAGCAAACAAGAAAAAGTGGAAGAAGACGAGTCCAAAGACAACAGCGACGACAAATCTGAGTTCTTGTGTTTGTTGGTAGAACATAAATCTGTGCATAGAGTGCCGCTGTGCCATAAATCTTGGAGTGCTGCACCGTCGCTCAGTCCATAAAACCGTATTTAATGATCTTTCAGTGCCCGCTTGGAATTTCGAAATTTTGGATTGCTGCTAAAGTTGTGTTTGATATTAACGAAATTTTAGTGGCTAGAAATGTCAGAACGAGGGCTGATTTTATGCCACTTGCCACTTAGCTTATCAATTAGCGCATGGCTTTCAAAAAGGGACGATCGGAGGAAGGGCGTAGGGGTAGGGGTAGGTGCTGCTGGGCTTGTGGGTTTCTCATTCGGTTGGGGTCTACGCCGCACACAAATCAATTATCATTGCGGCCTAAATGAATGAATGAATGGCCCTTCGCTCCACTTGCAGCAACTCCTAGAAGCAATTACAACGCTCATATGAGTTTGACGTCGGATGTTGAGTGAATGCACTCACACTCACACTCACAGTCACACTCACACTCGAAACGCATTCACAAAATGCATTTAATTAAATTAAAGCATTAATTGCCGTATAAACGCGCCGCGCGTGTCGTTTCAATTGCCACAAAACAACACAGAGTCTGAGCATCACAATCCGTACCAGCACCCGATCCAGAGCCCACCCCAAAGCCCCCAACCCGAAACCCTTTCAAGTGGCTTTTGGTCGTGGCAATCAAGCGAAAGCGCCCCGCAAATTTACTACCCCACATCCACAATTCTCAGTTCTTAGTTCTCAGTTCTCAGAGTGTAGCCCGCAGCTAAAGATCTCCTAGAAATTTGATTGGATTGACATGCCAAGCCGAATGCTCTTTAGCTCTGGGTCTGCTGATTGTAATTGTAATCAAATATTGAATTGAATGCAAAACAAAAAGGGAACATCTTTACACAGCAACTAGTTCATAGTTGTCAGCATTCTCGTCAGCAATTCTCGTTAAATTTCATCAGTTTTAAGCGAGCTTTGAAAATGTATTTGCGGCTGTTCCATTTTTTAATAATAACGATTTGCTTATTAAGCTTTTAGTAATTATTAAATGAATGGAGCCAGATTTAGTTCGCTTATGGGCTCGTTTTAAGTTTGCTTAATCTTTTATGACTTTAACCAGCTAAATTTGATCCGTGCGTCACCAAATTTAATCCACAGGAAGCAATTTTATGCGTTTATTTACATCTTCGCTTACAATCGTCTGCCAGATGAATCGTCTGTTTGCTTTTGAGAACGTACTTAAAAATTGAAACCCCTCTGCTCCCCTCCCAATGACAGCAGCCACCCCTGGACCCAGCTGTGTTTGTTTTCCCCCCAACATATTTTTGTCCATGGTTATGCTTGGTTTTGTTTGGCTCTTTTTGGGAGTCATTGGCTGGTTTGCTTGTATGTCTTATTAGTCATCATTATCACAAGTGTTTTTCAAGTGTTTGCAGCCAGCAGCTCGGAGCAATCCGCCACCATCTACCCCCCGGCACACAGTCTCTTCCGACTTTGAGGCGATAGTGAATGAATTGCGGTAAGTGTTGCAGCATGGCCCTCTCGGGCTTGCCACACCCCTCACACCCTCCACACACATACACACACACACACAGAAACACACCCGAATTCTGAATGCTCTTTACAATATTTATTATCATTTGTCTGCTCCAGTCAAAAACCCACCCCACTCTTGTTGGAGTTGCCTCCCGCAACTTGCCACAAGAATTTCATTTAATTTTCATGTATTTTGAGTTCTTTGTTTGCTTGCTCTTGTTGCGACAGTTTTGGTCTAACCCCAATCTCTCATTCTCCCTTCTCGGGTTTATATAAATATTTATGCTTGGATTGGAGACAACAAGAATGTTGACAATATTGGGTCCATTGCTGCATGCCTCCTTACTCTGCTATTGCTGCTTCTTCTTCGTTGCTCGCCATTTGGTCCATTGAACTGTTATGCTTGGTCTTTGGATGGCACTTTCGCTTCATACCAAATACACCATCAAAAATAGAAAATTACAAATAGGTTTTTGGCATAGAAACTATTTACTGATAAGTGGAAAGTGATGACGCAGATGGAGCTATATGTGCATATGACGCAGAGATATGCTGTGATTCACTTGAAAGAAAACCCACTCACCACCCACTCACCACCCAGACACCCACCCAATGACACCTCATGCGGATGAAATCACACACAAATCCTAAATCATTTTTTATTTGCTGGTGTGTTTGATATATCTTCATAACAAAGACCTATCTCTTAAAGGTTTTTAATATTTTCTTGTCGGCTGGTTGAGGTGCAAAGGAGCAAATTTTACAATATTAACAACGCTCACTCAGAAATTCATGCAAGAAATCTGGAGTATTCAGTCACAGCTACTGAATTGGCTCGCAGACACACACACACACACACACACCTCTCTTTACATCTTTACACCCATCGTACATGTTATCCGTGCATTTAGAATAGATTGATCAGAATTACAACGAATCCTGTAGATGGTTGCACTAATTGTGGCCACGGGCCAATGGGACTTAGTCACGTTCACATTTAGATGGTACAGTCAATGATAAATAAAGTATTGTATTTCTGCTATCCTTGTGCAATGGATCAAACAGCAGGCAATAATGTTGTTTTCCAATTCCATTGAAAGCGGAACTCACGTGATTTTCTGTGAGTTATACAAACAAGAGGCAGCAGGCAGGAAGACGCAGGAGG